GAATCGGCTTGATGGCAGTTGGTTTTTTGTTTTTATTTAAAATGCATAGTACATATAAGTCTTGTACACAGTACGTACAAGTTAGGTTACACTGAATTTTAAAGCAGTATTACTGATACTCTGATGCCATTGATTTTTCCACTGTTCATATGTGGTGCTCACTGCAAGGAGCTCTGGTGGTCCAGTGCCTATGGCATTTGACTGTTAGCCAGAGGTTGGAGGTTCAAACCCACCATTCACTCTGTGGAAGGAAGGCTGAGCCATCGACTTCATAGACACACCGCCTCGGAAGCCCAAGGAGGAGTCGCTCTGAGCTGGATCTGACTCGACGGCAGTGAGTTTCTTTGGTTTGGTTTGGAAAACTCCAGAAAGGAAGCCGGGAGAGAAACCCGAGGCAGCGCCTCCCTTTGCGTTTTCCCTCCGGGTCCAGCCTGGCTCTTCCCCAGCTGTGCTCAGGCCGCAGCAGCAGCTCTGACGAGCGTGTTTCCCCCGTACTCGGTGCTGGCGCTGTCCCGTCGTGTCGCTGTGGGTCTCTTGCGGGCAGAGGACGTGGTTTCTGAGTACTTCTGGGGCTTCTTCCCACAGGCCTCTTGCCACCTATGGTCCTTTGTGAAGGACGCTGGTAGGCAGGTGAGTTGGCAGGGACTCCCCGTGTGCCCATGCTGGCTCCTGTTCCCTGCTGTCGCCTCTGATCACCCCATGGGTGTGGGGACTCTGCCATCACAGCCCCGGCTGCTAGAGGACCGGCGTCTGCATGTGGGCTGTGACTTCTACACTATCCACGCTGTCGCCGCCCAGGATGAATGGACGAACCCATTCTCTAGTTTTTGCCAGAAGTGCTAGTGGAGCCAGACGTGGTGCTCACCGCTGCCTGGGTTCCTGGGGCTGCCTTAAGTGCCATGAAGTCGGTGGCACATAAGGGTGGAAATTTACCAGCGCCTGCTCAGGAGGCGTGGGGTCCAGATTGGGTGTGCGGAACTACAGAAGTCCTTCCCTGTCCGTCCCAGCTTTTGGCGGCCGGCGATCTGGGGGTTCCCACCCCATCTGTGCTAGCTGTGTCTGCTCTGCTCTTTTCTCTAACCCGGAAGTGATTACATTTAGGCACACCCCACGCTGACATGGCCTCCTTAACATAACAAAGAAAACCCTATTCCCAATGCAATGACATCATAGGGATCCCCAAACCAAGCCTGCTGCCATAGAGTCTATTCCGACTCCCACCAACCCCCAGTGGGTTTCCAGGGTGAGAAATCTTTATGGAGGTGGATGGCCTTATCTTTCTTCCAAAGAGCGGCTGCAAAAACGGCAAGGAGGCCACATGTTCTGACCTCCTCTAACCTTACAAGAGGAAGTCAGGATTACCAGCAGTAACCCAAGGCTTATTCCTACAAGGCCAGACATGCTGCGTCCCTCCAGCCCTTTCACCAACCGTTCCTCCCAAAGCACCCACCACCTCTCTCCTGGGTT